AACCCTAAACCCTAAACCTGAACGCTAAACCCTAAACCCTAAACCCTGAACCCTAACATGCGAGGGATGGCCCGAGCTGGGCCCCTTGCGTGCGGCCCTCCTTTGCCGGCGCACTGGGGAGACTTCCGAGGCTTGGGGTTCAGGGTTTAGGGTTTAGGGTTCAGGGTTTAGGGTTCAGGGTTTAGGGTTCAGGGTTTAGGGTTTAGGGTTTAGGGTTCAGGGTTTAGGGTTTATAAATTCGAAGCCTTAATAATCAGAATAGGGTTTTGGAATATATTATGCCATAATAATAAGAATACGAGACCCGAAAAATACGGTTGATGATATAAATCCTGCGTTACCCATAATAAGGAATCTACCATGTTTCTAGTTTAGGGTCCTTAAGGTAAGGCAGGATGTAAATCATCAACAGCAACCCCACTCCAAGACCCGTCCTGACCCTAACCCTAAGACCTTAATAAAGCACTCAAGAGAATGGGCTTTCGGTTTTCGGGCTTTGGGGTTTATGAAAACCCTTTTGCAGACGTCGAGCGTGTTATCGGGCCTCGAGTCACTAGGCTACGAACTTGAGGTCGTCTCAAAGATTTCACCCTACACCTATAGTCTCCATCGTAGTTTTTTTGGGGGGATACATTCTAGTTAAAAGGAACTACACTGGAGACTATAGGTAAGTCCGAAATCCAAAGCCATGGACTTGCCGGGCATAGAAGCATGGGAACTGAGTAGACCCGAAGCAGTATAGGGTCCATAACAGAACGGCTTGCGGGTCCCCCGAAAGCCAAAAAGCTCGCGCCTACAGTGGGTTCAGGGTTTCGGCCTCCTGAACCCTACCTAAAGCCCTCAAAAGTAGGTAAAATAGTGGCCCAAAACCTACAAGGGGCTGTTTTTCTACATACTCTTGGGGTCCAGGCAAGCCCTAAGCCGTGGGCCATTTTTTTGTGAAGAGGCCGATGCGCGGCTGGCTTTATCACTGGACCCTGGCTGTCTTCCTGCACAGGCGAGGGTTTGGGGTTTAGAGTTTCGGTGTACAGTAGTGATAATAGTAACAACCACGAACAAATAAAGTAATAGATGAAGAATAAACAGTTAAATAAATAAATCAATTATATATATATATATGTTAATAGTTCTAGAGGCAGAAGTAGTCACCAATGCTATTCCATAGGGTTCGCATAATGTACCAGAAAACCGACGTCTGATTATTCAGGCCCCTGTATTTGGGTCCATAGTATACCACGACTAAACTGGACTGGACTGGACCAGACTAAAAGAAATCTAGACTGGGCTAGACTACATTTCCTAGACCCATGCTGCTCGTCAACGCCCCCATATTATTCAGAAAAGCTGGCACCCGGAAATCGAGCCTTGAGGCACTCTAGGACGCACAAATTTGCAGGCAAATCGGGAGGATCCGATCAAGTAGACATTATGTTCAGGGCAGCATTACCATCCGAAAGCCCGAACTTGAAAGGGCCCTAAGTACCCATATAGTAGAAAGTAGGGCTTCTATATTATTCTATATCAGAGGTAACTATTTTGGTTTGGGAAAGTATCGCCCATAAGATTATCCTGCTGGTCAAGCCCACAGCCTCCAGCACCATACAGCACACCCTGCAATACGAAAATCGAGCACCACCTTTCACCTCGAACTTGCGAGCTAAATCGGAAAGCCAAAATCCAATGCAAAGCCCTGACCCCTCAACCCTAAACTCAATCCAAAGCCATAGACGATGCATCCTCAAAAAGCACCGTGGCCTGCAGCTCGCAACTTCCTGCAGGAACGCCTTCGAAGCCTCCGGAGCGCATAGGCGAAAAAGACATGGGTGTTCCGGTTTACGGTTTAGGGCCCTCAACCCTAAACTGAACCCTACTCTATGATATATGGAGCATGGGCCTGAGCAGTTAGCAAAACCATGCCGCCCGGATCCCTTATACAATCATAACATACCCCCCAAAAAATCCCATTCCAGCTATTTCAGGCCCAACATTGTCGGGTGGAGCGCTGGGGGCTTCAGCAGAGTTTATGGCCAAATTATCCGGTTTTAGGGTGTGCGCGACCGGGGTTTGTGGCAGTGTTATGAGTGTTTGGCGCTCATAGGGTTGAACCCGAGGGCCGGTTTCTTCATTCACCAGGCAGAAGCACGACATCCAATAGCCCCCCCTATATCCGCAAAAACCTTCAGTCCTATACCCTTAACCCCCCCCCCCCCTAAACCCTCAAGTCCGTTTAGTCCCTAAGCCCTAAACCCTCAACCCCAAAAACATTGCATCTAATGTAGAGGCCTAAGCAATTACCGATAGTATTGTTAATGAGATAAACCCTGTTGGCGCCATAGATTCGATCTGTGGGCTTCTGGACCTCGTCATGAGGGACAGGGGTTCGGGCGCGTTTTCTTTCCTCTGACAAAACAGAAGTTTAGGGTTTAGGGTTTACTTAAACCCCCACAGGCATGTAAAAATAATAGCCCAAAACCCATAAAGGGCTTCTATTCTACATACCTTGGGGGCTTAGGTAGGGAAGACAGAAGGCCTGATCATGGTGCTCAGCGGCCATGATTTTCATGGTCAGGGTTTTGGGGGCTCAGGGTCTTCCCAACTACGGTGCCGCAGCCCAGATCTCTGTTACAGCACCTACCGGGAAAAGCATGGACATGCCCTGAGCAGGATGACTAAACTCTTCATGAAACCCCAAACCCTCAACCCTAAACCCCTAAACTCTTTAAACCCTAAGCCCCAAACCCTCAACCCTAAATTAAACCCTGAACCTCTAACCAAACCCAGAAGCACCGCCAACTGTTAAGCCGCTACAAGAGCTCGTAAACTTATAAACCCTAACTCAAACCCTAAACCCTGAATCCTAAACCCTAACCTAAACCATTATATGAACCCTGAAGCCCCAAACAGGCTCCTCGACTTAGCTTCTCCCTAAAGTGGGTTTAGGGTTTTACTAATGCACCCTAATAGGGTGTTTTATTCTTTAGGGCCTTAGGGTTTAGGATTCAATGTTTAGGGTTTGGGATTTCGGGCCTTAGGCCTTAGGACTTTGGATTTAGTGTTTAGGCTTTATGGATTTGCGGTTTTCGTAGTGCCCCCATCGTGCCGGCTGCAAATGTTTGGAGCAGCGGATGCATCGGAGCGGTCGTGCCCTCGCTCAGGCACGGTGTAGAGCTTTAGGGTGAAGGGTTTAGGGGTTTAGGGTTTAGGGTTTAGGGAGAGCTTTAGGGTGAAGGGTTTAGGGTTTAGGGTTTAGGGAGAGCTTTAGGGTGAAGGGTTTAGGGTTTTGCGCTTCTTGTTTGGGACTTTCTGATTCTTAACATCCTCGAGCCACGGGAGCTCCTTCCCAAGTCTGCATTGAACATGATAGGATGTGAGCCAAGGCCTTGTACTTGTCGTACCAAAAATTCAGCCGAGGGTTTGAATCGAAGGAAGACGTAGAA